CTCAAGAAAATCATTTTCTTCAAAATGGAATTCTTGGTTCAAGAGTTTAGCTCTTGAGTCAAGCCAATTTTTTTATCAGTGCACGCATCCACCTACGCACTCCCATGCATCCACCCACTCATCCAAAACTTTGTGATATAAATTGTCTATGGCAACAGTTTTATCAATTCATTTTTATAAATCTAACTAAGTATTAACCTAATTATAATCGTAAAAAATTCAAGACTATTTTATAATTTTAAAAAATATGAATAAATTTCTGAGTTCTTTTTTTATAAAGAAAACCACCATGATTTATTAATACACATAATATATAATTGTAAATTTAATAATCTGGTATATTTATTATTCATTCGTATTCGTCTTCAATAGTCATCTTTTGTGTCGCAAGGATTGGTAATTCTTCTACCACAAATTCATTGAAAAAAGTAATTTGGTTAAACGTTGTAAGAAATTTAGAAGTTGATAAATCCTCATCATTAATTGATGGAAAGTGACAAATAAAATCTGCTGCATTTGAAATGTGTAAAATCTATATGGAAAGTACTATCAATTAATGTCTATCAATAAATTATCTAACGTATGATGGTATGAACTTAAAATAATAATTAACCTACTTGATTTTTATTGATTTTTAAACATTCGGTGAACGATGCATTTTCGATTGCAAAAAGATAATTGAAAGAATCCCATCCGTTTACTGTAAAAATATAATAATTTTTCTCCCCATATCTTTGATGTCCATATGTTTCGCATACGTAGCCATAAAAACTGTATCGAGAGATTAAATTATTTTTAAATCTCTATATTTGAATTGTTTCATTATTTTACATTTTACCTGTTGTTTCTTTGATAAAAGTATCCTCGACTTGGTAAAATATTAAACATTTCTCTTAGAAGATTCATAATATCGTTTTGGTTATTCATATTTTATAGGTTAAGTAAGTTTTTCATTGATCGATTATCTTTTGTTTAAAAACAAAAATAAAACCTATCTGTCAATTCATTGATTGTCTTTTGTTTAAAAAATAATTAGGAAAACAGTTAATCCTAAACTATCTTTTCATACAACCGAAGTATTTGATATATTAAACGCTCTAAATAGCTTCAAAAAGGACTAAAGATGTCAAATAAAGAAAGTATCGAAAGTTTAGTTTTGTGTGCTGACTATGTGTTTGGAAATGAGAATTGGTCACATGAGATCAAATCTCAAACTATAGGTAAGTTATATTTTTTTGAACATTAAAATAAAAATAGTCTTTTAAAATTTTCGGATGAAATTTTAGTTTTGTAATTGTTATTAATAATAAATTAATCATTTCATTACAGATAATAAATCAAAGAAGTGTGCTACTGAATGCTTTACGGTAGTTAGAATTTCTTTACGAGATGGAAGATTTCATGAAGGGATTGGCTGCTACGAAGATGTTGATAATGAAGACAAAAATAGTTTTGCAGAAATTAGAAAGGTAAATTTAAAATGCATATATTATTATATGATAATAAAAACTATTCTTTTAAAATTATTTGACATTAATATAAAATCAATAATTTTTTATAATTTATGTAGAAATCATTAACTGATGGAATTTTCAACGCTTTGTTCTATTTTAAAGAGATAAGAGATTATTTAGAGAGAAAAAATAATGAAAGAATGATTCGTTTAAGTAAACAAGAGGAAAAACAAAGACAATGGAAATTAAAAAGTTAATTTTTTTTAATCATTTACCTGTCGCATTTTTTTATTTTTGAAAGAGGTTGTTAAGATTAAAATTATTATATTTTAATTAGGAGGAGCTGAACAGAAAACAGAAGCAGGAGATGAGGATATGAAGACACGAGGTGGAGGAGAAGAGGATATGAAGTCACGAGGTGAAGAAGAATCCATAGAAAGCGAAGAAATAAATGTGACAATTAAGAAAATGTGCCGTCCAAGAAAATTGAGAAAATAATAATGGACATACAATTCCTGTTTTATGTTTGAAATTTATTTTTATTTTCAAAATTGTGATTTGTTAGTTTCATAATTAAAAAATAATTAGTAAATAAAAAAATAAAAAAGAAAATCAAAAATTCAAAATGGCTAAAGTAGTGTTCCTACTAAATTTTAAGTCTATAAGAGCTATAGATTGAAAATTAACAATTTTAATTGTTAATACCCACCCCCGCAACCCACTGTGAGATAGGATATCGTAAAATTCGTTCATAAATTATTTTTACTTACAAAAGATTTCTACCAAATTTGGACTCTGTAAGAACTAAAACTTGAAAATTATAAATTTTTGTTATTAACACCCACCTTCGCATACCCCTGTGAGATAAGCTATAGTAAAATATGTCCATAGACTATTTCTACATCTCTTACAGAAGATTCTTACCAAATTTGAAGTCTATAAGAGCTATAGTTTAAAAACGTGAATTTTTCATCTTTGACACCCCCACAAACCCCTTTGGGAAAGGAATTTCTTAAAATCCGTTCTTAGCTGACCTCTACATAACAAAAGTAATATTTCTATTAAATATTACTTTGGCATTCAAAAATTATGGATATTTAAAAATTCAAAAAATTATGTTTTTCGGTGTTTTTTAAAAATATCTTTAAGATTTTCAAACCAATTAATATAAACATATACATTTTCTTTTTGTGCTTTAAATACTGCGTCGAATGCTTTTTTATAATAATAAAATAATAAAATCGAACGACGCATTCAAAAGGTATAGTTCAAAAATTTTTTTTGGGAAACTGACTTATTTTTTCATGAAATGTGCAGAAATGCAATAAAAAAAATTTTTAAAATAGTCAAAAAAAAAAAAGAATTTTTATTACAGATTGTAGAGGTATGGGCCGTTTGCTTTTACGGAGCTTTCTTCCAAACAAGAGGAAATTTTTCTCCTTTCACCTTTCGCTCCATCAATAATGCCACTGTCCACGCTACCAATCTCTTTTACGAACCAGGAATCGGAGCCATCGAACGAAGAATCATTGAAGCAGAGATGGAAGTAGATGATTAAAATTTTTATTTTTAAAAATGCTCAAGACTCCTACAATATTATTGTTTATTGATTTAATTAATTTAATGTTTCGAAAAGTTTTTGAATATAAAAAAAAATTATTTAATTATTATTAAATAATTAACAAATTAAATAAAATATACTTTAGAGGTTAAGAAAAATTCTTTAATAAAAAAAAATAATAATAACAATGATTTTTGAATAAAAAGAAAATTCTTTAGCAAAAAAAAAATAATAACAATTTAATTAATTAATAATAATAAAATTAACAATAAAAATTCTTAATTTCGAAATATAGCTTCTAAAAATTTAAAATATAGTAGAAATCTTTTATTATTCATGTAGAGATCATCTCAAAATGGATTTCAAGAAAGTCTACTTCCAAGTGGAATTGCGCGTGTGGGTGTTAGAATCTAAAATTTTTATTCCCAACAATCCTTTACAATTCGCCCTTTACATTCCCGCGATCCCGTAATAAGAACAATTCATCGGATATGTGATCAGTAAAAATAAAATGTATGCAAAATACTTAGTCCGTTGACTATATAGCTACATGTAAAGTTAAATTTTAGAAACCTTATAATGACTTTTTCGCCGCTGCCAAAGAGACGATTGTTGTAAGAAAATATAATTATTAAAAAAGGAAAATATTTTAATCCGTTGACCTTGGAGGCCATCCCTGTAATTACCTGTTTCTCTTGAGATTCTATCAAATTTTATATCTGTTGCTGACAAGCATTTTCTCTTGATTCTTTTGTGTTCATGGATTTAAACGGAGTATATCAAACGAATTATGTTCTTTTACATGAAAATGATCAATAAAATTTAATTTATTTCCTTTGAAAATTCGCCCAGCGAAGCGGGCGGGGACGGCTAGTATATATATATATATATATATATATATATAATATACAAATTGTATTTATGACCTCGAAGAGCTCTAAAACGTCATAAGTGCAATTTCAAGCGTTTAGCTATAGAATTGGCGGGAAGTTGCAGGGATGGCCTTCAGGGTCAACCGTATTCCTAATTTTTTTTTTCTTAGAAACGAAATCAGCGTTATTGTAGCCAGAACTATTCACTGCAGACCAACGGCGTTAATGCGTGGTAATAGTAGCCATTACTTTTGCATAATGCATCATAGGGGAGTTTGGTCACGGGGGCTAAAAATAGGTGGTCAAGGGTAGCAAAAATGTCTATGTGGGTGTGTGTGTGTGTGTGATTAATGAGAACCTTAAGCCAATGTTCTGTATTTTCCCAAAATGTTCGCATACCCGTGAAAAAATATTCTGATCAGGCTCGATATGAGTTGATAAGGCCATATAAGAATTTTTGATATATTCATATCTGGCCTGATATGACCTCATATGTCCATATTTAATTTTTGATATGTCGTGATATGGCCTGATATGGAAATTGGCCATATAAGGCCATATCAAGCCTTATCAATTTGATATGCCTATATCAGACTTGATATAGTTTGATAAGCTCATATATAATTTTATATTATTTCTTAATAGGTCCTGATATGGCCTGATATAACCTTATAAAGTTATATATACTTTGATACACTTGAAAAAAAAATCCCTGATCAGAGTTGATATGACTTGATAAGGCTTCATATAGTCGGATATACCCTTATCAGTACATAAATAGTCTTATCTAGTTATATCTTTGTTATATACTCATATAAAAGCATATCAGAATTAAAATCTATACGTAATTCATATATAATTATGATTTTATAATAATAATATCTACCCTCGCGGTTTTAAGAATGCCGTAAAAATACCGTAATTTTTCGGCATTTATGCTAATGCCATATATTTACCGTAATAATGCAGTTAAACTATAGTTGTTTTGGCCAGTTTTTATACTGTAAATATCCAGTATATATACTGCACTTATGATGTACAGTTACCAAAAATATACTATACAATTACCGCATTAATGCCCAAATTTTACCCAAAAAATTCCAAATAATTACCGTAATAATACAGTAATTTTGCCGAATATTTTCTGACATAATGGAAAATTATTAAAAATTTGGTTTTATTTTTAGTTCACTTCTATGTTAGAAATGAATAAAATGAAAAATTTCCAATTTTGCTTTTTATTTTCCATCGCTACTTTGCAAAAACAAATACTGTTTTTGAATAAATACTACGTAGAATATTATTTTTTAATTAGGTATTTAGCGGTAATGAATATTAAAGAATACATATGTTAAGTAAATATATTGTAATTTCAATTTCAATTTTTAATTTTTCACTCAGAAAATTGCAAATTTTCTAAAATCGAAAAGTTACATTGTTTCACATATATAACTATATTATTTAATTTTAAATATGCTTATCGTAAGATGGACGGTATGGCTTAATGTATATAGAATAAGCAAAAAGAAATATGGTACAGGCCGGGTAGCTCAAATGGTAGAGTAGCCGACTTGTCCTCGGGAGGTTCTGAGTTCGAATCCCAGTCTGAGCTTTATTTGATTTTACACCATTTTTTAAATATGGTTTTAATACAGTCATTTTACCGCCTTATTACCATAAATATGCCACATTTTTAGCGTAAATATTTCGCATTTTTACGGTAAATGTTCCGTAATATTTCGATGAAAAAACTGTCCAAAACAACCGAAAAAATGCCGAAAAAATACCGCATTAATACTGTATAACTGCGACATTTTTTCGGCATTTACAAAATCGCTAGGGTAATATTAATAACTAAGATTAACTAATATATAATATTCATATATATATGAATCATATAGAATTCTATATAATTTTTTTTACTCAGTTGGGTATTTTCTGATTACTATAAAACATTCTCTTTTTTTTTATCCAAGAGCAGTATGTTACTCCAATGATCAATCTTTTAATAAACAGTATTATGCGAATGAAATAATAGGAACTTAAAAAAAAATTTAATTTCACATAAATTATTAGTTTTGTCAAGTTCATAAATTGTTAGGCGGGCAATATATAGTTCCATATACTAAACAAAAATAATTCCATCAAAATTTGAACTTTTAATTCTGATTCTACCTCTATCATTTTTTTAATTTTAAAGGAATTATAGATTCTAAAGCAACGAATTATCTTAACAATATCGTAGAATCATTTTTGCGATTTCATATATATGTAGAGAATTTCATAAATCTATAGATAGATACCATTGTTACTTATATATTGATAATTAATAATTAATAAATTAGATGGAAAATTTTGTTCACTACGAACCGATTATGTATGCGATTTGCATTACTTGTAGTTACAACAAACTATGCACTTCAATTAAGTCTCTTAGGTAAACGGGTAGTGAATTAGTCTTTCAAGCGTCAGGTCCACGGTTCGAGTCCCACCCGCGCTGTTTTTTTTTTTTTCTATGGAACTAATTATTTATAATGATACTTAATTCTATATAATTATTTATGGCCATTTTTCATATTTAATTATATAATATATAATTATATATAATTTTTTTTACCCGGGCGGGTATATAGTCTGATACACTTATATCAAGGCATATATAGTCTGATATGGCCAATTTCCATATCAGGCCTGATATAGTCTGATCAGAAAATTTTTTCACGGGTACGATCTTCAGCATTTCAGAATGATACAAATTAAATTAAAAAAAATTAGAAAAACGGTTCACCCTAAAGGCCATCCGTGCAACTTCCCGCTAATTCCATTCCTGGACGCTTAAAATTGTACCTATGACATTTTTGAGATTTTTGAGCTCAAAATATAATTTATGTGATATTTTGAGCTCGCTGAGTTCGAAGAAATAATATTTCTATGGGGAAGAGGTCGATTACCTACAGACCAATGAGTTAGATTACCGGTGACTTAGATTCCGATTACCTAGATTTCTATAACCCAGAATCCGATTACCCAAATTATCAATGACGTAGAATTCCTATGGGGTAGATTACCGATTACCTAGAATCCCGATTACTTAGAATCCGATTGCCTAGAAATTTGATTGGATATAATTCCGATTACACTGAAATCCGATTGCCTATAATTCTGATAACTTACAATCCCTAACAGATATTAAAAAAAATATTGAAGCCTCGTGTTTTCAAAAGCCGCATTCTGAAACATTCATGTATGACAGCAGCAGTCGTCGCATAGCGCTAAGTCCATGATTAGAGGTCCACTTAAAATCGTCGTTTAAAGCTCATTTTTATTTTAATTGATTACTTATTCGACAATCTTATTAAAATATAATTGTTTAAAAAGGAAAATAAAGAAACGAATTATTTAAATTATTTTTTCCCGATATTAATATTAATTAAACAT